AAGTAGTGGAAATGTTTGATTTTTGATGATGTTCAATGAACTTTCTTGTGTAAGTAAAGTTGGTTAACTTTATTAAGTGTATTCTAACCTGACCACTCTGTAATCTGGTAAACTCAATGATCTGGCACACTATAGGTCCCAGTGATGCCAGATTTGTGATGGTGGACCTATACTGTGTTTAACCCTTTGACTGTTTTGGTCATATACAGTGGAACCTCAAATATCGAACTTAATCGTTCCAGGAGTTAGTTCTAAATTCGAAAAGTCTGAAAATCGAAGCAATATTTCCCAAAAGAAATAATAGAAATAGAATTAATCCGTTCCAGAAACCTAAAAATATTCACAAAAAAATATATTTTATAGAGATTGATAACAGTTTTACATACACACAACAAATACTATAGTGTTCAATTATGTATATAAATATAAAATAACATTTTTACTTACCTTTATTGAAGACTGGTGATGGCATCTGTAAGATAGGGAGGAGGAGAGAGGGAGTTGGGGTTAGTGTTTGGAAGGAGAATCCCCCTCCATGAGGACTTCAAGTAAAGCCCTCTCTGGGGTTACTTCCCTTCTGTCTTTTAATGCCACTTGAGAGTCACTGGACCCTGTCTCACAAAATAACTGTCCACAGTCCTCTGTTTCTGGTGCCTCTTTAACATTTCCTTAAAATGGGACATGGTTCTGTCACTGAACTGGTTCCAGGAGTTTTCTGTACCAGATCGGCATGCAACTTCCTTGCCTTTCCGCAAATAATCGTCTCTAAAACACTATCACCTGCCATCTCTTTATCCTTGATCCACACCAGCAACAACTTTTCAACCTCTTCAACTACTTGTAGTCTTTTTTTGGTTAGCATATTAACACCTTTCACAACATCGGCTTCCTTGATTTGTTCTTTCTTTGCCAGGATAGGACCGATGGTCGACCTGTTTTTCTCATACATCCTGGCAAGCTCAGCAAGTCTCACACCACTCTCATACTTCTGTATTATTTCCTTCACATCTATGGTGTTTCTCACTTTCTTTACCACAGGGGTACCACTAGCAAGTTTCTTTGGGTCCATGGTAGCTTATTTCACAGTCTCACAAACACTAAACACAATGAAATAATCATAAAATGTTTGAATGAGATCACAGGTTAGTGTTCACTCAAACATCAACAAAGCCAGACTGGCTCACAGCGCCTGCGCGGGGATGTGGACAGAGCGGGCTGGCGGACAGGTCCGGTACCCAGTGGTCCGAAAATAGGGGCGCATTCGATAAAAGGGACAAAGTTGGTTAGGAAAAAGGGTTCTATTTGTGAAACATTCGATAAGTGATACGTTCGAAATTTGGGGTTCCACTGTATATACGTCTTACGGGCCACCGTTTTTGACGTATATATACTCATAAATTCTAGCAACTTCAAATCAAGCAGGAGAAAACTGGTAGGCCCACATGCGAGAGAATGGTTCTGTGTGATCAGTGTGCACCATATAAAAAAATCCTGCAGCACGCAGTGCATAATGAGAAAAAAAAACTCCGACCATTTTTTTTAAATTAAAATACCGACTTTGTGGTCTATTTTCGTATAGTATTTATGGTTGTATTCTCATTTTCTTGGTCTTATTTGATAGAATGGAGAACATATTATAGAAATAGAGGTGATTTTGATTGGTTTTACTATGAAAAGAACCTTGAAATGGAGCTCAAAGTAGGGGAAATGTTAGATTTTTGCCAATGTTCAAAAGTAAACAAATGATGTCATTTTCCAATAAATGTCCAAGTAGCCATTCTAATATGCAGTCATGAATGGGTTGACATTATTTATACAATTATTACAATATTGCAGTATGCTGCATAACAGTAAATCTTCTATTTTTTGTTTGAATAAAAATTCATAATAGAAAGCAAGAGTAATATCAGAGGGGCCTGGAGACGTGACTGATGAACAAAGAAAATGTTGTTTTAGAGCCAGGAATGTCTGCATTGTTCATTCTGGAACCTATTTTGAAATTGTCATATTTTTTAATTTTCGTGAAATTGGCCAAATTGCAAATTTCTGACCGCGTTATTAGGTAGTTGAAATCAGTAAATGGGCAGTTTCTTGAACTCAATCAATAGAAAATATGGAGTTCTAAAGAAATAGCCATGAGTTTGGTCGACTGGAACAATGGAATTAGCCGAAAATTGGGCTCAAAGTGGTTGAAATCGCCAATTTGTAAATATTGCCGAGGTTGCTAACTTCACAAGAGCGTAATTCCATCAGTTTTCCATCAAATTTCGTTCTTTTGGTGTCATTACAATCAGGAAAAGATTCTCTTCATTTCATAAGAAATTTCTTTTTTTTTTTTTTTGGAAATTTTGCGACACCAGGAGACACCTCAGGATTTGGGGTTGCGACAGTCTAAGGGTTAACTTTTGCAGTTAAATATTTAACTACAGTAAAAGATTTTATTTTGTATGTTTTTCATTTGTTGGTTGTAATTGTCTAGAGCAGTGGTTCCCAATCTGTGGCTCATGGGTCACATGTGGCCCTTCTAGGAAATGGATACGGCCCTCACATGAAATTGTGCATTAATTTTTATGTAGGTTCCACACTGCATAGTGTCAACAAAACTGTGCAGCCCTCATCACACATTGAACCATTAAATGCAGCAGATGTGTAGGAAGGTTAAGGACCACTGGTCTAGAGGGCTCTCACCACCTCATTGTGTCCTTGTGATTTTTGTTTTGCTTTTACTACTGGCAGTCTCCCGAGGTAGAGTGTTCTAAAAATGGAAATGCATTTACAATCATTCATTCAATAACTGCCTTGTCTGAATCATATGGGCATCACCTTCTGAAATGAAGCATTGCCATCTCTCCTTCAGAGTAATCTTCCAATATTTGTGAAGAAATATTTTCATTTCTCCTGTCTGTATCACATTTTATAATTTATAAGTATGGACATGCAGCAGACACGTGTGAGCATGTTAGATAAAAGTGAATGGAGACGAATGGTTTTGGGGACCTGACGAGCTGTTTAACTCTTTCAGGGTTAGTGCCATACTAGTACGGCTTGCACGCCAAAGTTGGTGCCATACTAGTACGCATAAATTCTGGCGCCTTCAAATCTAGCGAGAGAAACCTGGTAGGCCTACATATGAAAGAATGGGTCTATGTAGTCAGTGTGCACAATATAAAAAAAATCCTGCAGCACACAATGCACAATGAGAAAAAAAACTCTGTGTTTTTGCTTTAAAACAGTGGCTTTGCACTGTATTTTTGTATGCTATTTATGGTTGTATTCTAGTTTTCCTGGTCTCATTTTATAGAATGGAAGACATATTACAGAAATTGAGATGATTTTGATTGTTTTCTCAATGAAAAGTACCTTGAAATTGAGCTCAAAGTAGTAGAAATGTTCAATTTTTGCCAAAGTTCAAAAGTAAACAAATCATGCCACGTGTCCAATACACGTCAACTGGTGAGTCTAATATTCTTCCACAAGTGCGCTGATAATATTTATACCATTTCTACACCAATGCAGTAGTCTGCATAACAGTAAATCTTCTATTTTTTTGTGAGAATAAAAATTCAAAGTGGAAAGCAAAAGAATGTAAGAGGGGCGTGGACATGACTAATGAACAGAGGAAATGCTATTTTAGTGCCAGGAATGTCTTTCTTGTTTATTCTGGACCCTATTCAGAAATTGGCATCTTTTGAAATTTGTGTGAAATTGGCAAAATTGCTAAATTATGACCACTGTATTGGATAGTTGAAATCAGTAAATGGGTTGTTTCTTGTACTCATTCGATAGAAAAAATGCAGTTCTAGCAAAATAGTTATGATTTTTGTTGGCTGGTACATTGGAATTGACTGAAAATAGAGCTCAAAGTGGGCAAAATCACAGATGCGTAAATATAGTTGAGACCGTTAACTTTGGGAGAGGATAATTCCGTAAGTTTTCCATCAAATTTCATACTTTTGGTGTCATTATGATCAGGAAAAGATTCTCTTTCATTTCATAAGAATTTTTTTTTTTTCGAGAAATTTCCGACCCTGAGAACAAGTTTAGGAGAGGGCCTGCCGACCCTGAAAGGGTTAAGTGTGAACAGGGTAATATTTTGTAAAGGGATTCAGGGAAACTGGTTAGCCAGACTTGAGTCCTGGAGGTGGGAAGTACAGTGCCTGCACTTGAAAGGAGGGGTTTGGGATATTGGCTGGCTGTTTGGAGTGACATCTAAACTGTCATGTCTGGGCACCTCTGCAAAGACAGTGAATGATGGTGAACGTGTTTCTTTTTTGGATCACCCTGCTTTGGTGGCAGATGGCTGGCATGTTGAAAAAAAAATATGACCTCTGTTTTCTGTTCATGGTCCCTAGAAATTATTATCTATTTTCTACTATCCTTGTATACTCTTGTAGCTCCCATACATGGATGCACATAGTGGAGAAGCTGGCTTGTAGCCATGATTTGATCCTGGGCAGGAGGAGAAATTTGGCATGTTTCCTTACAAGTGTTGCACCTGTTTGTCTAGCAATATAACCCCCATGCAGCTGCAGCCAGTGGGACATCTGAACAGTAAGGCACATCTGTCTGCTAGGAGAGATGTGGATGCTGAATCTTTGAGTTATGCACATCACTACATTGACCTACAATTACATTATCAGAATTTTTTTTTATGGTTTCAAGACTTAAAAAAAAATTGGGTATTTTTTTTTTTTTTATTACATGCTGTTTCAGGAATGGAACTTCTTTGTTAAGCAAAGGTCATGTGTATCATGAGTGCAAGGGCATTTGATGTTTAGGACCTCCTGTGTTTCTGCATATATGTTTCTGGTCCTGGAAAAATTAGTACAATAGCCACATAGTTGGCTCCATTCTCCCTTGCATTGCCCAATACTGTAAATCTTTTTCTGTAATTCTGTATAATATGTGCATAATTAAGGCAGTGAAACTACACATTACAAACGACTCCCAAGTGTATGAGAATAATAACTGAACTAACACACTTGTTGTTTGTTCCACAGGGCAAGTATATAGAAATTCAATTCTCAAGAGGTGGAGAGCCCCTTGGAGGACGAATATCTAACTTTCTGTTGGAGAAGTCCAGAGTGCATTCCTTAAATGCAGGGGAGAGGAGCTTTCATATATTCTACCAGATATGTGCAGGTGCTACAGCTGATATGAAGAGTAACCTGGGCATTGCATCTCCAGACTTTTATTCATATTTACTCCAGAGTGGCGTTTATAAGGTTGATGGCACTAATGATGCTCATGATTTTCAAGAGACACTGAAAGGTTAGTAATAATTTAATTTATAATTGTGTAATTTGAATTTTATAGTGTGCAGCTTTGATATAAATGGTACAAAGAGTCAAGGTATTGGTCAAATTTGTTGGTGCTCTAGTCAGTGAGAAACTTATAAAATTTGAAATAAAACAAATGAATAAATTATTTTCATTAGGCACTGTATATAAATGGAGACTGAAAGCCTGCCATTGTTTGTTGCTGCACTTATCAGCTGATGTCAGTTTTCTGCCAATGCTGCTGTGTTGCTTTTGTTATTAAATATATTGTTTTTGTTATTAAAAATATTGTATAAAGTTACCTTCAGGTTATGTGTATAAACTGTATATGAAGCACAAATGAATTTCATATTCAGACTTGGGGTCCCCTCCCCAAGCTATCTAATTATATTCTCAAATCCAAAAAATTCTGAAATCCGAGACACTTCCGACCCCGAGCATTTTGGATACTCAGTCTGTATTGCAATGTGTAAGAGTACATACTCTTGTGATTGAGAAAATTGTAGGTGGAGTTCCTTACATGCAGCCGTCTGTTGACTGCTTGTTGCAACATGTGTTGATAAGGAGCAACTAACCACCCAACTTATACTTTCTGTTTTTTGTTTATTGTAATGCTTTATTTTGAAATTATTTGTGTGTTTCTGTATATCACACTGTTCAGTGATATTCAGCATACAAAATATTTTCTTTGTTTTGTTAGCCAGTTGGGTGGTATATAAATACATGTAACTATAAAAAAAAATTGTTAAAAGCTTTCATACAATATAAATATGCAATAAGATCATGGTAAACAGGTGATATCATAGTATGCAGAACAACCATTGTGAAAAGAATAGTGAACTTTCAAGTGCTTTAGTGATTTCTTACATTATCAAGGAACTATATATAAAAACAAAGGATTACCAGAAGGCATATAAAGGGGAGATTACACCTCACAGTCAACATACAACACCTGAACCTTTTATGATGATGCAGTGAGGTGGTTAAGGACCTGTCAGACATAACTTATGTTCTACCCAAGCTTTAAGATTTTAACTTGCCAAATATATCTTAAATTCTTCCCAAATTTTATAAATTATAAATGAGTCTAATTTGTATAATCCTAAACCAATATTCATATTAATTTCAAAGCTATTTTTTATGAAGCTTGATTCTGTTATTGTATTCCTCTCAACCATGGACCTGCTTGATACAACTTTTTCGGCCTTTTCAAAATCATTTGGATTGTTAAAATCTCTTACAAGAAGTTCACTATTCTTTACATGGTGGTTGTTCTGCACAATATAAATGTACTTATATTTCCCACTTATTGTGTGCCACCTTAAATTTTTACTCAGCATAGAATTTTATTTTTCTTAAAACTGTTGCTGTGAAATTACCCTTTTTTTAATTAGTAGTCTTTAAACCTAATTAATGTAATGAATATTTTCTAGCAATGACTGTGATGGGCATAGCAGAAGATACACAGATGGATATTCTCCGCATTGTTGCAGCAATTCTTCACATGAGCAACATTTCGTTCAATGAAGAAAATAATGCATCCTTCATCACTGATCCAGGCTGTGAGTCTCACCTTCATAGTAGTGTACAATGTAATGACATTAAGAGACAGAAGAAACATACATACAGTGAGACCACTTGGGTATTATTAGCTTTAAATTAACCCCTTGACTGTTGAAACCCCAAATCCTGAGGTGTCTCCTGATATCAGAAAATTTTTGAAAAACGAAAATAATTTTTTCTTATGAAATGATAGAGAATCTTTTCCCGATGGTAATGACACCAAAAGAATGAAATTTGATGGAAAACTTACGGAATTACGCTCTTGTGAAGTTAGCAACCTCGGCTACACTTACGAATCGGCGATTTCAACCAATTAGAACCCTATTTTCGGCTAATTCCATTGTCCCAGTCGACCAAACTCATAGCTATTTCTTGAGAACTCCATTTGTTCTATCAATTGAGTACAAGAAACTGCCCATTTACCAATTTTAACTTTCCAATAACGTGGTCAGAAATTTGCAATTTGGCCAATTTCATGCAAATTAAAAAATATGCCAATTTCAAAATAGGGTCCAAAATGAACAGTGCAGACATTCCTGGCTCTAAAATAACATTTTTTTTGTTCATCAGTCATGTCTCCAGGCCCCTCTGATATTACTCTTTGCTTTCTGTTTGGAATTTTTCTTCAAACCAAACAAATAGAAGATTTACTGTTATGCAGACTACTGCAATATTGTAATGATTGTATAAATAATGTCAACCCATTCATGACTGCATATTAGAGTGGCTACTTGGACATTTATTAGACAATGATGTCATTTTTTACTTTTGAACATTGGCAAAAATCAAACATTTCTCCTACTTTGAGCTCCATTTCAAGGTACTTTTCATAATAAAACCAATCAAAATCACCTCTATTTCTATACTATGTTTTCCATAATGAGACCAAGAAAACGAGAATACAACCATTAATACTATACGAAAATACACCACAAAGTCAGTGTTTTAATCCAAAAAAATGTTTGGAGTTTTTTTCTCATTATGCACTGCGTGCTGTAGGATTTTTTTTATATGGTGCACACTCACCACACAGACCCATTTTCTCACATGTAGGCCTACCAGCTTTCTCCTGCTTGATTTGAAGCCGCTAGAATTTTTGAGTATGTATACGTCAAACACGGTGGCTCGTAAGACGTATATATATGACTGAAACAGTCAAAAGGTTAATATTAATCTTAAATTAGCTTTAAGTGATTCCTGATTTGCCCAAAATAAATTGCATAACTAGTAGCATTGTAAAATGCTGTTATTCACTTTGTAATTCATTGAGTTAAGTAATTTTTATAATAACTCTGCAGAGCTTTGGTTGTATGAACTCAAACTATTGATTAATTTTCTGAGAACAATTAGAGGAACTGTATTTATGTAGGTCAGTTTGTAAGAGAGGAAATAGAATTAATTGTAATGCAGATAATTAGTAAAGACTAAGGATTAAGGATTTTACAATGTGTAATTACAGTTTTGATTTGGTAAGTACAAATAGAGCCACTATCATGCTGGGGCATTTCGGGCAGACTAAACCTAATGTTTAACAGACTATTTAATACTAGGCATATATAACATAGTTGGTTCGAATTGAACATCGTTTTTTTTTATATTTAAAGAGAGGTAGTTAATGGTTTAACAGTAATTGAATTTATAATTGAGATGAATTGATTAACAGGTTGCAGTATTATATTTTCGCACATTTTACATAATGAGATTGGAACCATTTTAATACTGAAATAATCTTAAAATATTTAGGAATTTTTGAGTTGGTGGCAATAATATATATAGTGTTTGTATGGTTAATTTTGGAAGATTAGGTAATTTCTAAGCAGGGGTCATAAAAACATATAGTATATTATACACACAAAACAAAGGAAGAGATAAAAGACGCGGTGGCTTCTCACAAAGTGAGATTGCTAATCCCAAGTGAGGTTCAAGGAGTGGTCATTATCCAGAGTGAAGTCATAGTTGCTTAGGTATGAAGGCTTCATGTGGTACTGTAATATGTCATATCCTCATGACCTTTTTTCACCTTTAGTGCTGTATATCATATTGGTTCCAGGTGCAAACTTGTTTACATAAGGTGACCACATATCTGGCAGTTGTGTTACTGCTGTATTTGCCAATATAGGACAACACTCAGTGGAAATTAAGTGTTTATGGATTTTACGTATTGTTGGCTTCCGTAGAATTTTCCAAAGCCAGCTTGACTTACAGACAGGTCTTGGTAAAAAGCTGTTTTTCTGGAAGAATATCTTTTGACTTAAAGCTAAGATTGTACAGGAGGGCTCCATATGTACAGCACCCTCTTTTTGGTGTTCCATGATTTTGTTGGCTTTTAGTCAAGTAATTGTTCATTATGTTCAGTACTTTTGCTGCTTTTTTGCCATTTTCATATAACAGTTGTATAATGGAAGGGCAAATGGTGCTATATTTTAAAGTAAGTATTGTATGTACTGTGTATTTGTTTTACTTTTTTACCTACTTTTTTATGCCTAGCTGTATTAAGCACTTAATATATGATACTGTAAACACGTTATCAGGCATTTTAGATGTAATCGATAATTAAAAACTGCTCTTTTCCACCCACCGGCAATTTTCACTTATCGTACAAGGTCAGGAACTCCTGTACAGTAATCCCTTGTATCTGCAAGAAACAAATGAAAGCTTGTGAATGTCAACTCTCTTGTTCATAGATGGTGTTGAGGCTTCATCATCTTTTTTTTTTTTTAGCTGATAAAAATATCACTGGGTCATGACACTGTTATTCATGGTTTTTAGATCTTCACTAAACTAAGTGTGTTCATGTATCTCTGATATGGTCTTTTTTTTTTTTTTTTGATGGTTTGAGCTACCACAACTATTTTCTTGTATTTTCAGATGTTAATTGGAATAAAAAAGCTCTAAGCTTTAGTTCAGGATTTGGATATGGATAGACTAAATGAAGGCTGCTTCAGAGTGAATGTTCAGTAAAGGTGGAAGAGTATGAAATAAGAGTTTGTTTATGTACATAGATGGAGTGACAGTGTGGAAATGTATTTGGAGTGGCAAAGAGATATAATGCTAGCTACTAATATTCTATGGGCCACTCTGCTGTACTTTGGAACATGAATATATAATACACATGGTTTTGTTTACCTAATTTTTTTTTTTTTTTTATTTTATTCTTTGCTGTTTTTAGCATCATGGTGGAGAGAAAATGATAGCAGTTCTAGCTGCAAGAAGCAGTTCTAATTATTTGTATGCTTTATATAATTAACTCTTAAACAGTCCAAACATATATATATGTTCTCTGACGTAGCACCCCAAACGTATATTTATGTTTCCTTTGTCATTCATTCAACATTGCCACGATAAGCCTGAGTTGCCTAGACATGAGAGAATGGGTGGGCGCACTCACTGTGCACCATATGAAAAAAAATTGGGGACACCTGGGTACCATATGCTCTTTTTTCCTATTAATTTTTTTTTTTTTTTTTTTCAAAAAATTTGGGGAACTACGCGAGAGAACGTATATATACATTTGGACCATTTAAGGGTTAATCGTGAAAGTTTTTAGTGCATTAAGTTAAACTTTTAATATTATTCCTTCTTTCGTTGTGTAGATTTGGAATTCCCAGCATTTCTCCTGGGCATTGATGCTCAAATCTTGGGTCAGAAGCTCATCAGCCGAGTGTTTGACAGTAAATGGGGTGGAAAATCAGAGAGGGTGGACGTGACTCTAAACACAGAGCAGGCACAGTTTACACGAGATGCCTGGACCAAAGGATTATATTCAAGATTATTTGACTATATTGTAGAGGTAGGAAAGTGGATTATGCATTTCTTATTCAGAATCATTTATTACATTTGTAATTTGCCAAATAATTTTAATAAATACAGTAAATGTGCTTTGTTTGCTTAGTAGGTGATATAAAAAGACTACCCATACAACCAATTTTTAATTACTCAGGCAATCAGTAGGTAGGAATTTGTTTTGAAGTCCCCAATTTGTACATCTCTTATTGTATGTTTCAGGTTTCACAAACAATTAACTTGATATGTATGTACAGCTTCTCCTCACTTAGCGACATACTTGTTTACTGACAACTCAGACTTATAACAGGCTCTCTGACCAGTATACTTATCTAAATAATGTATATTAGAGCAGATTTCCTCTATTCTGTTTATTACAATATACAGTACACTACTATATAAACATTTAAAAATATACCAGAAATGTTATAAATGGCACAAAGGTGACATAAAACATTATCAAAGAAGGTTGACATAAACCCACTACCATTATAGTATGCTCCTCACTTAGTGATGAATTCATTTACCAATGTGGTCTTAGGAACGGACCTTTGTTGTTAAGCGAGAAGAGGCTGTATATACATTTGAATGTCCTGGAGGTGGGAAGTACAGTGCCTGCACTGTGAAGTTGGGGTGGAAGTGGGAAGTACAGTGCCTGCACTCTGAAGGAGGGGTGAAGGTGGTAAGTACAGTGCCTTCACTGTGAAAGAGGGGTGGAGGTGGAAAGTACAGTGCCTGCATCTGGTGGAGGGGTGGAAATATTTGCAGTTTGAATGGTCGTCTGAACTTGTAATAACACATTTGCAAACAAATCGAGTGATTTGTTTGAAATTTTGTTATTATGATTTTGTGAGTCATGGCAGCTATGAAAGGACTTGAGCAAGATCACGCTACAACCATGCTGGTGTGGGATTTGTCTGTATCGGCATGCCTCTGGAAAGACAGTGATGGAGTGAATGATGGTGAAAGTGTTTATTTTTTGGGTCACCCTACATTAGTGGGAGAAGGCAAGTGTATTAAAATAAAAAAATATATACAGGAAGGCCCCACTTATACGGCGGGTTAGGTTCCAGGCTACCGCCGTAAAGCGGAAACCGCCGTAAAGTGGAACACCCTGTTTTTCCACTTACAAATGCATACAAACACTAGATAACAAGTTTACACTAACATATATTATGTTAGCAATAGAACCAGGCATCAAAAAACAATAAAAAAGTACAATACACACATAGTGCACTCATTACTTACCTTAAAATATTTATAGTCTTAATCTAGGGTGAGACAAGTAGTATTTATTGTAAGAAATCAAGTGTGGTATGTATTGTAATAGCCAGGCTACCTCACCAGGCCACCCCACCCACACATACTATTCTATGATATTTAAGCATCCCAGAGCGATAAAATGTATATACAGTTCACTCATTACTTACCTTAAAATATTTGTAGTCTTAATGTAGGGTCAGGAGTAAGTAAATGAGATAAAACGAATAAATGAGAGAGAGAAAGAATGAGTACATGAGAGGTAACAGGCGCAGAGTTATGTAAACAAACCAGGCTCCCACATCTTATATTTATGTTTATTTATTCTATTGTGGGGTGTATTTATCATCTTTTTATGTTATGTATCGTGTTTATTATATAATTTTGAAAAAAATATCATGGATGGATTAATGAAAATGTGTATATTACCGTAATATACGACATTTAATGAGACTCGGTGAGTATTGTTATTATGGCGTCACTTGTGGAAGTCGTCTGCTCACATCTCACATTTATGTTTATTTATTCTACTGTGGGGTGTATTTATCTTATTTATATGTTATGCATCGTGTTTATTATATAATTTTGAAAAAAATATCATGGATGGATTAATGAAAATGTGTATATTACCGTAATATACGACATTTAATGAGACTCGGTGAGTATTGTTATTATGGCGTCACTTGTGGAAGTCGTCTGCTCACATCTCACATTTATGTTTATTTATTCTACTGTGGGGTGTATTTATCTTATTTATATGTTATGCATCGTGTTTATTATATAATTTTGAAAAAAATATCATGGATGGATTAATGAAAATGTGTATATTAACGTAATATACGACATTTAAATGACTCGATGTATGTAAGTTTATTTAGGTACAGGTATACATAAGTATAATTATCAGAGTATATATAAAATATGAAATAACTTTTAAAAACATTTGAAATTTTGGAGTTTCCAGACAAAATGGAGAGACTTAGTGCTTACTGAGCTCATGGAGAATGTAAACAAACAGGGTGGGGCACGGTGACCGTATTAGAAAGTCAGGTGGGGGGAGCCGTATAGTGAGTTTTGGTCATAATTTGAAATGTCCGTATTAGCGGAACGCCGTAAAGTGAAACGCCGTAAAGCGGGGCCTTCCTGTACTAGGGTGTTGGGGAAAGGGGTGGGATTAAAATATGCAGAATCTAATACAAAATGAGACTTGTCACAGTTAATTTTTACTGACGACACTGTGCTTTTGGGAGATTCTGAAGAGAAGTTGCAAAGTTTAGTCGATGAGTTTGGGAGGGAGTGTAAAGGAAGAAGGTTGAAAGTAAACATAGGTAAGAGCAAGGAGATGAGGGCAACAAATGAGTTAAATAATGGAAGATTCCATAGCAGATTAGAGGGAGGGAGTATGGAGGAAGTTATTATTTTCAGATATTTGGGAGTGGGCTTGTTGGCAAATGGATATATGAAAGACATGGTGAACCATAGAACTGATGAAGGGAAAAAAGTGGGTGGGTCATTGATGTGTCTGTGGAGACAAAGAATATTATCTATAGAGAGACAGAGAGAAATGTATTAGAGTATAGTGGTACCAAGCATGGGTTATGAATGTTGTAGCAAGGAGGATGCTGGAGGCAGTGGAGATCTTGTGTTTGAGGGCAATGTATGGTGTAAATAATATAGAGAGAATTCTTAGTTTAAAGACTAGGAGGATGAGGAGGTACAGAGGCACCAAAAGTATTATCCAGAAGGCTGAGGAGGGGTTGTTGAGGTGTTTTGGTCATTAAGAGAAGATGGAACAAAATAGGAAGACTTAGAGTGTGTATAAATCTGTAGTGGAGGAAAGGTGGGGTAGGGGTCATACTAGGAAAGGATGGAGGGAGTGGGGTGAAGGAGGTTTTCAAATTTAAATTCAAATTTATTTATTTATTTGCAAGTAGTACATTAAGGGTAGGTATTTACAGTAATGGGTTGCAGTGCAAAGAGAGAACTTCTATTATGCCTAGGCATTATGGGCCGACTTAATTTAATGGCTTACTGACTACTTAACACTAAAGAAATTTATCATAGTTGCACAATAGTTCTATTAATTATAAGTTAATCTAATTTATATAAACCAAAGGATATATTCTTGTGACAATGGACACTAGGTTCAAAAGTAATTATTGAAATTATATATATATTTTTTTTTTAACAAGTCGGCCATCTCCCACCGAGGCAGGGTGACCCAAAAAGAAAGAAAATCCCCAAAAAGAAAATACTTTCATCATCATTCACCACTTTCACCTCACACACATAATCACTGTTTTTGCAGAGGTGCTCAGAACACAACAGTTTAGAAGCATATACGTATAAAGATACACAACATATCCCTCCAAACTGCTAATATTCCAAACCCCTCCTTTAGAGTGCAGGCATTGTACTTCCCATTTCCAGGACTCAAGTCTGGCTATTAATAATAACCGGTTTCCCTGAATCCCTTCACTAAATATTACCCTGCTCACACTCCAACAGATCGTCAGGTCCCAAATACCATTTGTCTCCATTCACTCCTATCAAACACACTCATGCATGCCTGCTGGAAGTCCAAGCCCCTCGCCCACAAAACCTCCCTTACCCCTTCCTTCCAATCTTTTCGAGGACGACCCCTACCAAACCTTCCTTCCCTTACAGATTTATACGCTCTCTATGTCATTCTACTCTAAATGACCAAACCACCTCAACAACCCCTCTTCAGCCCTCTGACTAATACTTTTATTAACTCCACACCTCCTAATTTCCATACTCTGATATTTTCTGCATAATATTTACACCACACATTGCCCTTAGACAGGACATCTCCACTGCCTCCAACCGCCTCCTCGCTGCTGCATTCACAACCCAAGCTTCACACCCATATAAGAATGTTGGTACTACTATACTTTCGTACATTCCCTTCTTTGCCTCCATAGATAACGTTTTTTGTCTCCACATATACCTCAATGCACCACTCACCTTTTTTACCTCATCAATTCTATGATTAACCTCATCCTTCATAAATCCATCCGCCGACACGTCAACTCCCAAGTATCTGAAAACATTCACTTCTTCCTTACTCCTCCTCCCCAATTTAATATCCAATTTTTCTTTATCTAAATCATTTGATACCCTTATCACCTTGTTGAGTTAGGCATAAGAATTAACAACTGGGCGTCTACACTGCAAACTGAATTGTTTGCAATCCTAATGGCGCTAAAGCTAACCTATGACACTGAGCTTGACTCTATCATCATTACTGATTCTATGTCATCACTGAAGGCTCTTGACTCATATAATGACTCCAACAACATGCTCATTGGGGAAGCCAGGTATAGATACTCAAAAATTAGGGACAAAGGAATTAATGTACAATTGCTATGGATCTCATCACACATTGGATTACTCCTTCATGATAAAGTTGATATGTTAGCCAAGAAGAGTATCGAGAAGGAGAATGTAGAATATAACTTTGGTATAACTGTGTCTAGCATTAGGAATAATATTAGGAGAGAAGTAAATAATGAAAATGATTGTTATAGGAATGCAGTTAGAAGCCTGAGTAGATCTATAACCCACTATGATAACATGAACGTAGATAAGTATGTTTATGGAGCAACTTGCAATGTGAACAGACTGACTGATGTTGTAGTGGCCAGGCTTAGGCTTGGTTACAAGTACTTCTGGCAGTTTGGGAGACACACAGATGATGATCAAACTAAATGTAAATTATGTGAT